TTATAGACAATGGTGGCGCTATTTACATAAGCTAATTAGCATCTAAGATTATATAAAATCTTACAAAGGTAGTATGGCCGTAGACAAGGGTGCACCAACAGTGCAACACTTCGATCATCGAGCTCATTGAATGATATTTTACTCAAATACAGTTTTTAACCAATGAATAGAACGATTCCATAGCAAAAATGACGATAAAAAAATTTTTGCTATGGAATCGTTCTATTCATTGGTTAAAAACTGTATTTAGTGGTATATTTTCTCTAAAATACAAAAAAAGTCATTGTTATTATTTGTTTTATAACATAAAAACGGTTTTGCCAGGAAAATATTGTAACTATGATGCTTTTTGCTAAACTTTTAATCGGTCATGAATGATTAAATAATCGATATATTTTTGTATATATTGAGGGATAGGTTAAACTTATAAATGGGAGTGTGTAAACCCCAAAAATCTAGTAAAATTTAATGTAAAACATAAGAAAATTTGTATCTATATGACTCTCTCTGCATTTGGATAGCACAGTCACTGCACCAAACTTCTCATAGAGGGCGCTATTTTGCACTATGATCAATAATAAAATTATTTTAGACTCATTTTAATTAACTATACTTAGGAAATTTAGACTAAATTAAAACTTTTTACTATTGAAAATGTTATTAAATAATTTTCTTAATTTTAATGAATTTTATATACCGATTAATGCCATTTAAAACAATTTTAGTATTTGTCAAATTTTCGCATCATTGCCGATTCGGATAAACGCATTAGTTGTACGTACGTACGTAGATTGATGTCTTTAAGTGTTTTGTTTTTTTAAAAAATCTAAACTACATTCTAACATATATGTGTATATACATATATGTATGTAATATATAGGTCTATATATACACGTACATGTACAAAATAATAATGATTGAATATATATATAAAACTTTATATATATATATATATATATATATATATATAAAATTAACTCAAAATGTTTTTTTTATTAGGCACGGCTAAATAGCCTGAATCACACACTATTCCATTTAAAGTTTGAGGTTTTTCGGAACAGTACTCAATTTATGGCGGAAATAGGTCAAAAATTTGCAAAAGTTTTGAAGTTTTATATATGTTTTTTGTAAATATGGCGGAAAGTCAAAATTTGCACTAAGTGCTCAACTCGGCGAGATAAGCACTTTTGTTCAAAAAGTCATAATTTCAAAGAATTTGTCAAAATGTAATTTTTTAGTTAAGCACGGTGAGATAGCCTGAAACACGCACTCTTCCATTGGCAGTTTGAAGTTTTTGGGAACAGTACTCGAAATATGGCGGAAAATCAAAAATTTGCACTAAGCGCTCAACTCGGCGAGATAAGCACTTTTGTTCAAAAAGTCACAATGTTAAAAAGTTGAGTCAAAATGTAATTTGTTTTTGTTAGGCACGGCGAGATAGCGTCAAACACACACTATTCCATTGAAAGTTTGAAGTTTTTCGGGACAGTACTCGAAATATGGCGGAAAGTCAAAAATTTGCACGAAGTGCTCAACTCGGCCAGATAAGCACTTTTGTTCAAAAGTGACAGTTTTAAAAACTTGAGTCAAAACGTAATTTTTCTTTGTTAGGCAAGGTGAGATAGCCTGAAACACACACTATTTCATTGAAAGTTTGAAGTTTTTCGGAACAGTACTCAAATTATGGAGGAAATAAGTTAAAAATTTGCACTAAGTGCTTGATCTTGATTGAGTGAAGTTTTACCTATAAATTTAATGAAAGGTATGAAGCTTTGACGAGTAATTTGTGTTTTCTGGTGATGGGAGATCGAATGCATAGCTATTAAAGTTGATGAATGGTGTGAAGCTTTGACGAGTAATTTGTGTTTTATGGTGATGTGACATCGAATCCACTATTATTATACATTATTATATTATTATTTTTATAATAATAGTGATAATAATAATAATAATAAGTAGTTAATAGACCAGGTAAGTCCAACAATAGAATATTAAGTCATCATAATTCATAATTATTTATTCATAATTTTATTTTGCTCATAATGGGTTGAAGCATATGAAGGGGGTATATGAGGGTTTATTAAAATATTAAAAACAAAAGGTGGTATTAATTAAGTGGGTTGTGTAGCGTGTTAGGTTTGTCATGTTTCCTTAAAATTTATAGTCCACTATTGTGTGCTCTTTAGAAATTGGTTACAATGAGAGTGAAAATTGAGACAAAAGGGAGATAAGTCTGCCAGTGCTGGATTTACAGTCACAAAAGAATCTTCTTGCCCATTAAATTAATGAGGGTATTGAATTTCCAAACAAAAGGGTTAGGTTAGGGGATTATCGGTGACAGTTTGGTGACTGAAAATTTGCCCGGGTGAATGAGATTTGGTGACGTAGCGTGGAATGGACGATTTCTATTGGCTCTTGTAAAGAGCGCTTCCTATTGGCTCAGATGTGTCAGTGACCGCTGGTGAGTCTATGGTTTGAATAACCCGCTTCCGACGTTATGTAATACCTTTATTTTCAAAGTGTATAAATTTAGAAAAAAAAAATAGGCTAAGAACATTAAATTAGTTTCAACTACATAAACTTTAGTGTTACTCTAAGAATACCTATCCAAGAAGATGATGAACGGAAATTTTGCCGATGAACAAGACCTTTCTAACTGGGATCTCGATGTTAACGGGGGCTTTCTGTTAGCGATGGCAAATGATGTGGATGAACTGGTAAGTTATCAAATAGTTCTCATTTCCTTTTTAATTTGTTAGATTTTGTTTCTTGTTTTTTGAATACTGAATAGAAAGTTTTTTTTCAGTTTAATTTTACAGCCGATTTGATTAGATTAAACGAAGAAGCTGTAGAAGAACATATAGATAACAAATTTTATGAAGATGAATTGGTAAGTTTTTATTTTTTATTGAGTTTAAAAATGTTTTCGCATCCACTCAGATTGCATTCTCTCCCTCCTTCCAAAACCGAAGTTCTGGAGGAATGGTCATCAATGAGCTAGGTCCTTCCAGGTGGAATTCTCAAGCCCCGCTTCGCACTCAGAAGAGAATGCTTTCTTTCGTCCTCGTGGGTTTGCGATTTGATCAACTTTGATTGCTTCTCCGTGAAACAAATAATAAAGCTTCCAATCAAATTTTTTTTGTATTAAATTTTTTTTTTTTTAAATGTTATTTCAGTTTGACTTTTTAAACGATTTTGATGAAGAAGAGGAAGACAATGATTCTGATGATGATATACGCATTGCGTGTGAACAGGCTGTATTTGAAATTCAGAGACATTGACGTTTAGGTTTAAGAAAGCATAGTAAATTAATAAATAAAGAAGATTATTTCAACGCGAGACGACAGCACGGCCACGGTAAACATAAGAAAATGATGTTTGAAGATGATGAAGACGAAGACGTAGAAATCGAAGATGATAATAACAGCGCGAGACGACAGCATGGTCTAGGTAAACATAAGAAGATGATGTATGAAAGTGAACAGGAAGACGATGAAAACTACCACGACGATGAAGACGTTATAGTTCAATTCGGATATGGGAAACACGCTAAAAAATTGGTAAGTTAAGTTTCTGCTTTGCCTAATTTTTCATGATTTTAAAAATTGATGTATATTGTATTTACTTTTTTTCCCCTTGATTTTCAGCCTGATCGCGGCATTAAGGGGATGCGAGATACTGAGGATAGCGACGAGGACGATGAAAAGGATTTCAATGATATAGACGTAAGAGAGCTATGCGTTATTCGGAAATTGAATGATAAATTGAACAAAAAATTTAACCTGTTAGCGAGCGAACACTTGGTTACATTAATAGGTTTGGATGATGTGAGAATTATTGAAATTTTACCTACGCTTAATAGAATTCTTGATTATGTTTTAGATAGTATTTTGATAAATGTTCAACAGCATGATATGGTCAGGTTCGTTACTAGAGCGAATGGTTTAGATAACCCTATATCATTACCATTTATGATAAGGGAACAAATAACTCCTGAAATAATTTTTGCGGCTATTTCTAAAGTCCTCCAGTCTCACATGAACATTTTAGTGGGAGACGATTTACAATTTAATAGTTTACATATTCCTATGCCAATTGGTGGTGGTGGTGGTCATGATCGTTATTTCAAAAATGGTATAGATAAGGCTGTTGGGGGTTCCCGATGTTTGAGTCGAATTAAAGACGAGAACGATGAAAACGCTTGCTGCTCTAAAGCCATTGTAACGGGTATTTCGATGTTAGAAGACAAAATTAATAATAAATCTAAATGGGATAATATTAGACGGGGTAGATATTATCAGGAACATGAGGCTGAACAATTATTAATAAGGGCTGGTGTAGATAAGGGGCTTTGTGGGATAAGTGAGCTTAAACGTTTTCAGGGTGTTCTACCCGAATATCAAATCATTGTGATTTCTCGAGACAATCTTCACTCGGTAATTTTTAGTGGTGAACATAGAGAAAAACAGATTTATTTATACCATCACGATAATCATTACGATTTAATAACAAATCTAACAGCCTTTTTTGAAGTCAAATATTTTTGTAACCTTTGTTTTAAGGGTTATAATAACAAATTTTACAATAATTGTAAGTTCGTGTGCGAGTTATGTCTTTCGCACGATTGCATTCCTTCTATAGATCCCTCTACCATCGTCAAATGTATTGACTGTTTACGTTCATTTAAAAATCAAAAATGTTTTGATAACCATAGAACCGCTAAACAAGGTAGAACAACCCTTTGCGATTCAAAGAAACTTTGTAAAACCTGTAATCGCTATATTAAAAAGGATCATAAATGCAGTGAATATGTATGTAGAGTTTGTATGACGACGGTAGAGACGGGTCATCTCTGTTACATGAAAAAGGTGGTTGAAAAGAAAACTAACAAAACTAACAAGGTAGATATGAAGAAAAATATTTCTTTTTCGATTTTGAATGTACTCAAGAAACAGGGGTTCACCATCCTAACTTAAGCGTCCTTCAAAAAAGCTGTCTAAATTGTATTTACGATGATAAAGATTCTGATCTATGCGAAATTTGCGGGGATAAAACCAAAATTTTCTACGGCGAGGATTCATGCTATCAATTTTGCGAATACTTATTTAAACAGTATCTGTATAACCAAAATGTTACATGTATTGCTCATAATTTCCAAGGGTATGATAGTTACTTCATTATGCAATACTTACACTCTTACGGTGTTATTCCGGAAGTTGTTTCTAGGGGCGGAAAATTAATTTCGATCAAAGTTAAGGATACATCGATTCGATTTATTGATTCGCTTTCTTTCCTACCTATGTCCCTATCAAAATTACCTAAAACGTTCGGTATCAAAGAATTAAAGAAGGGATACTTTCCCCATAGGTTCAATACGATCGAAAATAAAGATTATGTGGGCCCTTACCCCGATGTATCTATGTACGATCCCGATAAGATGTCAGAATCGGCCAGGGGTGATTTTCTTGCTTGGTACAATAATCAGAAAACAAAAGTATTTAACCTCAGACAAGAACTCATTGATTACTGCATAATGTAGCATGATGTAGAAATTTTAAGGCGATGTTGTTTATCGTTTAGACATATTTTTAAGCAAGTTACCACGCTTAACGATGGTAAGGATAAAGAAGGAGTAGATCCATTCTCTAACGGTTTAATTACCATAGCTTCAGCCTGCAATTATGTGTTTGCTAGGAATTTTTTTACAACCAAACACTATAGCTATATTCCCACCTTCGGGTTATCAGACTATAGATAATCATTCATTTGCTAGTATGGAGTGGTTAAGTTACGAGTCAAAACAAAGGGGAATTCATATTAGTCACGCACGTAACGGGGGCGAGCAACAACTTGGAGAGTCGATGGGGCATCTTTCGAACCCAAAATTATATTTGAATTTATGGGATGTCTATTCCACGGGAGCCCAAAATGCTATCGACTCGATTCTAAGAATCCGTTCACTGATGTAAATATGTCCGATACTTATCTAAAGACGCTACAAAAATCTGAGTTCCTAAAGGAAATTTTCCCGAGTTTGAGTACGTAGAAATATGGGAACATGAATGGAAGGAAATTAAGAGATCGTTAACTCCCATTGAGAAGCAAGAGGTACTTGATGTTCCTTTCATTCACCCTACCATTAATCCACGAGACGCTTTCTTTGGGGAAAGAACAAACGCCGCGCGATTATTTTACGAAGTTAATAGTAACGAAGAAATTCATTACGTTGATTTCACTAGCCTATATCCGTACTGCAATAAATATGGAACTTACCCTGTTGGACATCCGGAAATTTTGTCATCCAAAAATATGTCAACGGATATAAATGATTATTTTGGCCTAGTTAAGTGCACAGTAGACCCGCCTAAAAATTTGCTTCATCCCGTTCTTCCGTATCGGAACAGCGGGAAACTTATGTTTCCCTTATGCCGCACTTGCGTTGAAATGCAATGCCAAAATACATGTACGCATTCTGTTGACGAAAGGGCTTTAACTGGTACATGGGTTACCACTGAAGTTCAGAAAGCAGTAGACATGGGGTATAAAATTACCAAGGTGCATGTTGCTTGGCACTTTCCCCAAAGAAGCGTCTATGATTGTACTAACCCCTCAGCCGGTTTCGCTACCGCTAGACTTAAGTTATACGATTTGCTAGAAAAGTTACAGGATCGTGTACTTTACTATGACACCGATTCTTGCGTTTTTGTTTCTAACACTACTAACCCGGGTGAATGGCAACCTCCAATTGATGGTTATTTGGGTGAACTAACCAATGAGATAGGGCCTAAAGATGGAAAATTTATTACGTGCTTTGTACCTGGTGGTCCTAAAAATTATGCGTATAAGCTTGACTCGGGAAAGATGGTTTGTAAAGTAAAAGGCTTCACTTTAAATTATCAGAATTCAAAAAAGATAAATTTTAAAACGGTTAGGGGTATTGGAGCAGATAAAATAACTACTACCGAGTCTAATCGTATAACTAGAAAGCTTAAATCGAGGAAAATCGTAAATGAAGCAACTACTAAAGACTATAGGATTGTCTATGATAAGAGAATAATTATTGATGATTACAAAACTCTACCGTATGGATATGTTTGGTAATACTACGTTGATAAAATGTTGTATCTGATGAATATTGAAACTGTATTGCGTTTGTGTAAATATAAAAGCTGTATATATTGTAAGTTATTGTAATTATAAGAGAAATATTATATTTTTTATTTGTAAATTAATGTAAATTCTATGATAATGATTTACAAAGTATGTATTATTGATTGATGAAATAAATAAAAAGCTTTGCTTATCGTTGAAACAGTACAAGATGCAATCGTTTCTCTGTGTTTGATTAGTTACTGTATACTATGCGACTTTAGTTAAATATTAGTAATATTCACATAACATTACAACAAATATAATTAGTTATTTCAATCACCATTTAAATTATATAGTATTAGTTATTGATTGTAAATATGAAATATATAAAAGCAATTAAAAAAGAATTAAAATAAATAAATATGTAAAAAAAGCGTTTCAAATATCATATTGTGTTAGCCATACCATCGTACTCAGTATTGGTACTTCTCGTAAAGTGCAATACAAGCAAAAATAACAGGTTCTGATTGGTCATTTAATTCAAGCCGAGGCCCTATATGATAGGCCCTACTAACAGTTTCATACATTTTACAACTACAATATATACTTTCTTTCTTTTAATTTTACAGGCTTATTATTTATAACATAGAAACAGACATAATAATTTTTTACTATCGCAGCTATTTGTGGTGAATTTATTGTTGATTTCAGTCGTAGTGATGAATGGCAAACATAGTAATAATGGCAAACGTTGGAATTAATTAAGCCCTCTTTATTACCATATTATTTAGAGTTCGAGAATTAAATTATTTGAATGGTATTGAAAAATAACACTGCCTATTTGATAGGCCCTACTAACAGTTTCATACATTTTACAACTACAATATATAATTTCTCTCTTTTCATTTTACAGGCTTATTATTAATTACGAATTAAATAGAAACAGATATAATAATTTGTTACTATCTCTTTGTTGTGAATTTATTGTTGATTTCAGTCGTAGTGATGAATGGCAAACATAGTAATGATGGCAAACGTGAGAATTAAGCACTCTTTTTTACT